CCGATGACTTGAGAAGTTCCCAAAGTATTTCTCTCGAGCACGACCTCCCAAAACTCAGATTTACAATGGGTAAAAGTGAAAAATGAAGGTGAGAACAGCAATATTTGTAGGTGAAAATGATGGGAGGCCAAAGGCGCTATCTACGACCGTCCACGAAGACACGTGTCACAAATCCAAGCCCATTCTCTGCAACGGTCATATCAATACCGACCTCTATTGTCAGCCATCACTTCTCAACGAAGCTTCCTGAACTGACATAACTCATGTGCACCCTATCCTAAGAGCTCGATCTCTAGGAGGAGTGCACGGGGGCCAGTGATGATGCCAATATTGGTATACCCCGAGGACTCCATATGTGCTCCAACTCACCTTTTTGCCATATGTTCTCAGGATCTTCCGAGACCTCGAGGTATATTGGTCCTCGAGGAAACTCATACGAATATTCACATCACCCCATAGTCCTCGAGAATAATCCTCGGGACATACTAACAGACCTTCTAGACCTACGTGCCTAACAAACAAACACCTAAACACCCAAGAACTCTATATCATCTCTTATACCACTTGTCAGACAATCCCATTACGAGTAGGACATTCCTTATAAATAGGATTCCCTTGGATAAAAACATCCAACCGGCCCAATCCTACTAGGAGTGCACTACCTACCTGTATAAAAATAGAACCTTGGGCCATTATTCAAGTACATTTTTCATTATTCTCCAGTTTATAGCCTCACGCTTATAATTCCCTTTCGGACTTAAGTATCGGAGGGACGACGAGAACACATCTCGTTGCCTTTGTTTTAGGTACCGGAAGACTACGATGGTGCTCAATCCGAATCATCGAGCTCGGGAAATATACAGGTACGATTTTTGGTAGTATCAGTATGTTTCTGCAACAAGAATAATGATCTCGGAATAATTAAGATAATCAGACTCATAAAAAGCCACAATGTGTTAAAAAACAAACTCACTAACTAGAAGATCATAATTACAGATTGAAAGTATTTAAGTGTTCTAACCATGGAGAGGCAAAGCAACCACATTCCAAAACTATTCTTAAATATTCATTTTTCTTTCTTTAAAAAATAACTATTTGAAAGTCATTAACCAATATCATTGTTAACAACTGCTGAGGTAAAACGAGAAATGCAATTTGTATGACAGAATCCCAGACTAAACATGTAAATGATGCGAGCTCCCAAGCCACTCTATCACCCTGATGGAGAACAAAATGTTAAGGACCATCGCCCACATCCTGCAACAAAGCTGCAATATTCCACAACACCACTTCATTTGGGGCGAAAACGAAATCAAAAGTTAAAGGGAATCACATTCGATCGCATATTTGTTTCTTTATAATAAAAACTATTTCACAATACAAGATTTGGATCTTACAACAATACTACATTAATTCAACTACGTTGAACAGTAGTTATAAATTATAATGTTTATACAATTGAGCTGAGAAATTATAAAAAAGCAATGAGGTGAAGCTTACCTTGATCAATGAAATGGTTGTGGAACAATACCCTTCTATCTGCCTGGTGGAGTTCGGCATTCCGACTACTCCGTCAAGTGTGTGTGACCTGAAAAATGAAGGCGGAGCTTCCTCCCCCATTTTACCTCCGACGTGAGAATTAGTTTTTAGACTTGGAAAAAATGCAATTAGAATTCAGATGGCTAAAGAGAAAGAGAGAGAGAGCCCTTTACCTGTGTCACATCCGGAAGTATTTATAGATATTAGGAGCTAGATAACCGTTGGGCGGTTGTGGTGCCACGTGTTCCACGTTGGCATTCCCACTACCCCATGTTCTGAGTGGGGGGTCTTTAACTTCCCGCCTGAAGGTTGTTCCCGTATTAACTGCCATGGAACCTAGTCGATTCACTAGATGTTTTATAGCTAAGTGTTTGGATAGGCAATTTCATGCCCGTTGAAGACTTTGCGTAGAGGTAGAGCGATCTCTAGGGGTAATGGTAGAGCGTCTCTTGGGGGTTGTGGTAAAGCGCCTCCGGGGGGTCGACGACCTGACGTAGTGGTAGAGCGCCCCTGGGGGTTCGACGGCCTTGGGTAGTGACAGAGCGCCCCCTGGGGGGGGTCGACGGCCTCGCATAATAGTAGAACGCCCCCTGGGGGTTGCGGTAGAGCGCCCCTAGGGGGGTCGACGACCTCGCATAGGGGTAAAATGCCCCTTGGGAGGTCGACGACCTCGCGTAGTGGTAGAGCGCCCCTGGGGGTCGATGGCCGTGCATGGTGGTCGAGCACTACTTGGGGATGGTGGTCGAGCACTACTTGGGGATAGTGGTAGAGGACCCCTTAAGGGTCAATGGCCTTGCATCGAAGTACAGTGATCCATCTTATTTGTCGTCGAGGGTGGCTTCCTCTACCAAGCTATATCAATCAAAATGGAGGAAATTCAATAAATATGACAATAAAAAGGGTGAGATGAAGATAGGCGCAACCATTCAACTTTGATTATTTGAGAAACGGTAGAATGATTGAGAAAATTTCAGGTTACCCAATTTTGATTCTTTGAAATTTAAATTACGAAATTCGGTTTGGGCTGAATACAGAAAAATGATACTTTGAGCTCAAGTAATTTGTTAACAAATGAACCAGGAAAGTGATATTTTTGTGCTCGACTAATTTCTTGGCAAAATTATTTAGAAAAAAAATTGAAACAATTTGACTTATTTAATATAAAAATTAAAAAAAATTAGAGAAATTTAGTTCTTTGATTTTTGATCTAGAATCGAGAACGGAGCCAAACCCATTGATTCTCGATTCTAATATCCGTTTGAATATTTAATTTAAGAAGAATCGAATTGAATCGAGAGTTTTGTCTAGCACTAGTCGAGGGTGTGAGAGTATGATACTTCAAACAACTATGTTAAAGGATTTTAAGGCATTGATTTGACATTTGAGAAAATGAAGCTAACTCTCATTTGATAGAAATTAAAATTTTAATTTTAATTTGAGTCAAAGTCAATAACCAATTTTAACCACATCACATTCATGTTCACATTTGCAAAGAACTTAAGTGGTTGAATCAAAGTACTAAGGCAAAGGCTGGAGATCGGTTCATTCATGAGTACTTTCTTTATTGTGTCTAATGCATTTTATGGGACCATCAACATTTCAATTTATGATAAAAATATATTTAGCCCTTATTTGATGGGGATTAAAATAAGATTATTAGCAAATTTTGATAAAAATGATAAAATATGTGATTAAAAAGATGTGGACCACGTGAAATATATGATTAAAATTAATTGTGGACTTTGACTTTGATAAAAGTCTAGATTCTACTTTCTATTAATACATATGCTTAATCTTTACACATTATTACATTTATATCTAATTTTTTTTTATCACATACTTATTCTGAAATTAATATAAATTGTTCTAATATGATTTCTCTTCAAAAAAAAAAAAAAAAAAATTTAATAGAGTAAAAACACTCATTTGCCCTTGTATTTTTTAATTAACAAAACAAATAATATTGTAAAAATACGATTAAATATTTTACCTTCATTTTAAAGCATGTTAACTATATTTTTGGATGAAAATAAGGATTAACATCATTTTTTTGTTAAATGGAATGTTAAAAATAAAAATGGAATAAAGGATATAAATGTAATAATGAATAAAGATTATTGACCTTTACTGTAATTAAAATGTGGTATATTTGTTTTAAAAAAATATGTTGTGAATATAATCACCCTAATAATATTTCGGAATAGAAAAGGAAATTGTTTGTCTAAGGGTGTTATTTATTTATTTATTTTACCATGAACGATTATTACAATCGCATAATCTAAAAGAAAAAGGAAAAACAAAATTAAAATACAAAATTTATTATTTAGTATAATATTTAGCCCATGTTTGATTTTAATTTTTTTTAATTCATTTTTCCTTAACTCATTTTTAAATAGACATTCTCACAATAAAATAATTTTACATGTATATTTATATATATTAGTAGATCAAAAGGAAAGAGTCTCTATTGCTATATTGATTAAAAAAATAATAATAATAAATAATAATAATAAATGAAAAATTGAGGGTACTCAATAATGAGGAAGTTTTTGAATAATTTATAGGACAAAAAAATTGATTCCGCTCATTGTCTTCGGAGGGTTTGTTTTAACACAGCATATAATTTGTATGATAATTGCAGCTTAGCTCTATCAATTTTATCTTGTTATTACAAAAATTACGTGTTAATAATTAATACAATTAAAATGTACAATAGCAAATGTAAGGGATTATGTATAGTTAAGATGAATATTATTATTTAATCTTCTAATAAAAAACAATCATCCTTATTATCATGCATATACATATGGAGTTCAATTTAAATCAAATAATATAAATAGTATATTTCAAACAGAATTCTTTAAATGGGGTAATATGATGCACTAACCCAACCTCGCCCCACCCCCCCGGCCCTTCCCTCTTTTTTGTGACATTCTCGTATGATTCACTCCAATGAAAAAATTCAGTTGAACTTTTAGTCAAATTTAATTAAAAATACACCAATGACCAAAATCAGGAGAAATTTTAGTCAAATTTGATAGAAAATGAGGCAATGAATCAAACTCACGTGAAATTTTAGTTAAATTTGATAAAAAAAAACGAGCCAACAAACTAAATTCATGTGAAATTTTAATCAAATTTAATTGGAAACGCGCCAATAAACAAGACTTATGTGAAATTTTAGTCAAATTTGATTGAAAACGCACCAACGAACAAAGCCCAAATGAAATTTCGTTACAACTAAAATAGCAAAACAAAAACACAACATTTTTAACTTTTACTAGTTTGATTTCATTTGGGTAAAGGAGAGACGACGACCACCACCACCGAAAAAATTAAAATAAATAAATTCTCATTTCATATGGAGATTAGAAATCACGCCAGCATCCCAGGAAGTCAACTTCTCTTAATCCATCTCTGTAGCACTAAATGAAATGATTACACAGAGAATACGCAAAAAAGAAGAAGAAAAGATTAGGCTCTTAGCAATAACAACTGCTGGATTATGTGCTTCCAAACAAAATTTATATTCACATATTCTGGGATAAGGCCAAAGAAAATTAGGAAAATGATTCATAAAAGATTCGAATCAAGTAGAAATAATTACCAAAAAAAAAAAAGGAGAAAAGAAGTAAAAATGAAGCCATTTTTGTTGGAAAACTCAAGAAAATGCAAAAACATTCCTCTGTAGGGAAGAATCGTACAGAATGCTGGACACTTTTGTGGGAGGCCAGTATCGGAAAACTGATCTACCGACAATGTTTTCGATAGGCAGTGGACCCCTGAAAATGGGAACAACCATAAATCAGAACCTATAAAATTTCACAGATACGGTTTTCATAGAAATACAACAGCCGTACATATTCCGCACATCTTTTATTTATTTTTTCCTTTTTGTTGTTCTCCATATAAAGGAGCTTTTATGCACGAGATTAGCCTAAACATTTTACAACCAAAAGTACCCTGAAAATGTAGAGAATGTCACGATTTAAGAACACGCAAAAATGAAAACCCAATTTACAAAAGATTGAATAGTCAAGTATATTACAACATATAAATTACCAGTTATGAGAGTCGAAGCTGTTATTCCGGTTGTCTCCCAACACAAACACACAGCCCTCAGGTACAAGCTATATTGAAACAAAAACAATGAGCAGGATTTCTCTATCAAGTTCAGACAATCTTCAGAGTTGATGACAGGAAGTGATAAAAAGGCTGAAATAATAACAAGCACAAGACATTACCACTGTGTCCATTTCATAGTCATGTGGCTCCAAGATGAAATCCTCGTCTTGAGGAACACCATTCACCAACAGTTTTCCACCACGAACCTACACAAGGCACAAAATTAGTCTAGTGGATAAAGATGAAAAGACAAAAGCACAGCTTCAACGACTATTTACTGGTATGACTTACTTCTAAGTAGTCCCCAGCTTTAGCTACAACTCTCTTGATGAAGACATCACCAGAACTAAAACCACAAAATGTCTTTACAACACATCAAAGCAAAACCACAAAATGTCAGCTCCATGGTATGACATGAATAACAGAGTACTTCTGATCAGAATGGAATCAACAAACGCAAAACATACTTGAAGAATTGGAGGTGCCTTGAAAATCACAATATCCAGGATTTCAGGATTCTTGAAAATGTAAGATACCTGAAAACCAACCAAAACGAGAAGTTCAAAAATTTTCTAGGAATTATTTGATATTAGACCACAGCACGCGTAATCCTCAACAAGCAATCACCATTGTAATAATCCATGTTACAAGAACATATTATCACGTATAAGCAGATCTCAAACAAGTAGTCAAGACTACCCAGCATCATGTTTTATTGCAATGCGAACTATTAAAACAATGCAATTGAACAAATAATTTGTGTATAGCATTAAGAAACATAAACCAAAGCCTGCAAAAGATGGTACAGTATTTTTCTTATGGCACTAAAACCGTTGAAACAAGGCCTCAAACATACACGCATACAGAAAACACAAAAAATTGAATTCATATCATCATTAGAAACAAAATTCTCATACTAATGCATCCGATAAATTGATTTTGTTTTCTGGCACAAGCATCTTGATCAAAACAAATTGTATTATTCTGATCCACACCTGAATGGCTGACAATGCAGAAGAAATATATCTTCAATACTTCAGTTAAACAGATTTCTATCATTAGTATTTTCTTGTGCACGAATTTGATACATAGCATACATTCTCAATACAGATATTGATGTAAACGCCTTGAATATATTTCAATCGTAGTTAGATGTTAATTCTAAATAAGTCAATTGAAGATTAAAATCTGGTTTCAGTTCAATCACCAGTGATCATAAGAACAATATCAAGTTATTAACTCTAATAAAGCTTCAACTGTATCAGGTGAAACTATACCTTTTCAGCCATTACACGATCGCCCACGTCAAGTGTCGGGTACATGGATGTTGAAGGAATGGACCTTGGCTCTGCCAAGGTAGATTTAAACAATATACTGACACTGAAAGCCGTGAAAGCGGCTTTAGCATCATCTGAGCTGATCGAAAACTGCATCAATTTGGACAGCCAGCTAGTGCTAGTGCCAATACTCCGTTGCAAAGCCTTTAAACTACCACTAGCACCGCTACTGTTGGCCATCGCCAACGCCTCCGAGCATTTACTACTCTTAACACTGTTTTTAACCACGTCTTTGTTGCTGCTGCTTCTGCTTTCAACCTCAACTTTGCTACTGATGCTGCTTCTGCTTTCAACCACAACTTTTCTACTGTTGATGCTTCTGCTTTCAATCGAGTCTTTGCTACTGCTGTTTTTGGTGCTACTGATACGTGTACCACCTCGATCTACCTCCGTACTGGTGGGCTCGTTGCACGGAAGCCACTTGGAGCCCTGCAAGAACGGAATGACCGACGATGCCTTGATCGGTGAAATCCCCAAAACCCCCGCGTTGGATGTCCCCATTGACTGCTTCATCAAAGAAATCAGCCCCGTAATCAGAGGCGATCGTGAATTGTGGCCAAAAATTTCCTCTGCCAGCGTCGAGTACTTCGACGACATGGGCTGAACAGAGGCTCCGACAAGACCAGGACTGGGCTTACCCCGGCGGAAATCGGAGTAATTGGAGTCAGGCTTTTGGGACGGTGGGTGATGGAAGATCCGGGTACGGAATGCGCACTCGTGGAGGAATCGGGATCCAGCACATTTAGAGGATGCTGAGGAGGCGACACTCGCGGCGATGTAGCCTGAGTAGGTAACAGTGAATCTGATAGCCATTACAACAAATTGTAACAAGCTGATCAAGAAGCAAAGGAAAAGATTGGGGTTAGGGATGGGCTGTAACGTTAACGAAAGCTCTACAAGCCTAGAAATGCCATCGGAATTGAAAAAATCAGTGACAAATTGTAGGAATAGAAGAAGAATTGGAAAGTGTAACTAGATCGGAAATAATTCGAATATGGATTTGTATTAGAAGGCAAAATTGGAAAAGCTCAACCCTGAAACCGGCGAAGGTCAGGGCGGAGTAGGGTCGATTTGAGGGAAACTTGGAAAACAAGAAACAGTGATGAGAAATTGTGAGCCCCATTATTTGGCAAGATGAATAGTGTTTAAAAAAAAAAATGAGTGGTTGAAAATTTTTGATTTACGTGTAATATTATTTTATTGAAGATTGTGTGATTAAAAGTAAGAGTGAGAAAAATTTAATTTAATGTAATGAAAAATAATAGATTCAAACGGGAGCTTAATAAAGGAGTAGGTTAGGGTGCTGCTGGCTGCAACGGTATGTGAATATAACGCACCCTCCGATTATTGGGTTAATTACATAAAGACCACGTGAAGTTACCGTAAAATTGGAAAATGAGTTTTGATAAATAGTTGAAGAATGTGTGATTAAAAAGTATAAAAATATTTTGAATTTACTTGTAAAATTATTTAATTCTTGTTTTATTTTTATTAATTTCAAAATATTTTTTCTTTTTTATTTTCAATTACACATTTTTCAATAAATAATATTACTCAAAAATATATTTTTTTTTCTTATTTTTAACTATACATTCTCTATCAAAATATTATTCTAAAATATATTTTATGTGGAAAATGGAGCTCAAATATTGTAAGCCGTAGGCATTTTGACCCAAATGAGAATTCATTTTTCGACAATTTTTTATGGTGCAGTGTATTCTGACTGCACAAGAAGCATAAAAGATGGAATTGTCGTTACTTCACTTGTAATGAATTTTGCTCCTGTTTGATAGCCAGTTTCAATTGATTTTTTGAAGAACTCTTTCCCATTATGCCGTAAAAAGACAGCTGCATTTACTGACCAATCTTGACAAAATTACCTAATTGCCCCTTCACATAAAATTCATTCCAAGTGAAGTAATGACAATTATGTCTTTATGCTTCCTGTACAATTAGAATATACCACGAGGTCCCATTAAGAAGAAATTGGGTTAAAAAAGCCCGCTAAATCTGGGTATCGTTTGGTTTGGATTGGTTTCAACTCTAACTTGGAACAAAAACTAATTAATTGATTTGGAAGAATTCAGGTCAAATCAACCCACTTTAATTTTTAATAGTTCGATCAGTCAATTTGGACTTTTAGTCCAAATTGATTTTTAAAAAAAAAAAATTGTCCGAATTTTGGGCCAATTTAGATTACAAGAACTAAAATAACCAAGTAATTTTATATTACAAGAATTATTGATTAACAAATAAAATCAGGTTAATATAGACGAAACAACATAAAACTTAAAAACTTTGTTTTTTTATGTATTACGTAGTATGATTGTCTGAATAGGAAAAAATGTTAAGTATAACATAATGAGCTTACGAAAGAAAATTTCAATGTTATTATTTACCAATAACATCATAAATTGGAGGAAATCAAGATACAATTATGAGATTAGGGCATATCTTTTGATTTTTATTTTTCTTTAATTAAAAAAATAAACATGCAAACTGAATTGGGTTGATTCAATTAATTAACGGTTTGAGATTTCAAATCATGACTGAATTGACACATCATGATTTTGTTTTAAAAAAAATCAAATCAAACCAATTACCTGTATCAAACTGACTCGAATCGATTCGATTTAATTGGTTTGGTCGATTTTTCGATTTTTTTGCCCGAGTTTAAATCCCCTAAACAAGGGCTTTATGTGAAGGGGCAAATTGGTCAATAAATATAGCTCCCTCTTTACTGTATAACGGGCAGAATTCTTCTGAAAATTAATTGAAAGTACTAGGCACAAGCCAAGAATGTGTCATTACAAATGAATTTAAATAATAATAATAATAATAATAAACAATAAGAGCGTAATTTTCTTTTTTATTTTAACGAATTTTATGTCAAGTGTTGGCAAATGGCAGATGGCAAGAGAGGTAATTTGATCAAAGAATGCGGGCATTTGCTTAACCTGTGACTTGTCAATTTGACATTTGATAGCAATAACGTGGGAGTGGTTTCCAGGTAACCATGCCACTAACTTTTCAAATACTGCTTTCACACGCATATTTTCCAGGAGGAACGATGAAGGCCATAAAATAATATCTTTATTTTGATAAACCTAAAATTGAAAAATAAGAATATCTAGCCCCTATTATTCTCTAAAAATCTTTTTCTTAATTCATTTTCAATCACACATTTTTTCAATAAAATAATTTTAAACGTCACTTTTTTTTTAACCACACATTCTAAAAAAATTTATTATTACAAAATTCATTTTCCTAAAAACAGGGCTTAAACAGAGCTTTATTTTTGCAATTTTATACAATTTATCATATCAACTGATAAATTGTCCCTGTTTCATTTGGATAAAAATAATTTTTTTAATAAATTTTGATAAAAATTGGTAAAATGTATAAGTGAACAGTCAATAAAAGTTGTGATCATATGAAATATATAATTGGAAATGAGTTTGAGGAAGAATTATTTTAAGAAATGGAAGTGAAATAAGAACTTCATATTACTAAGATAATTTATATCAACTCAATCACTATAGGGTGGGAAGAACAAGTTCGTGCTGAATGAGAAAATGTCTTAGACATGTAGCATTTGAAGAGAAATTTTATAGAATCTTTCTATTTTAATTTATATGCATTAGCACTGAAAATGCTTTGATTGTAATTCAAGATTTCCAAACTCATTTTGAAAACATAATTCAAAAGTTCATAAATTCAATCATGATCATCATAGAACACCTAATTCAAGAATTTCTAACTAATTAGCGTATATTATTTATTTTTTATACCATAATTTGTAACTATTTTTCATACAATACTAATCATTAAGATCTTATTTTTAAGTGTTATAAGATTCCACGTATTATTCATATATATGGACCTCAATCTATTATTATAAAACATTTTCTTTTCAAATGACCATTAGGGTCATGAATGATTCTTATTCGTAAGTTGTTTTACTAAGGTAGACTTCATAATGACAAGCCAAATCAAACAAGGAAAGTAATTTTTTATTTGTCAAAAGTTGGAAATAGATGCCAAGATGACATCCCAAACTCCTCATGAGGTAAGTCCTTACATCACTGACTAAAAGCGTTACCAAGTGATATTGACTAAGCGCGAAACAAGGAATTTAAACGAAAACCTTAAAAACTCGAAATTTGAAATCCACCAAATTATGAAAGAATAAATTCATGAAATTTTATTAATGAAAAGATTAATAAAACAACGAAATAATCTCCCTTTTTTTTTTTTTTTTTTTTAATAAGGGCTTACATGAAAATTCAGTTTAGGATGGCTAAATTAATGAAAACAAAAGTTAAACGAATTAAAATTGAAAAGAATCCAAAATAAACTAAATAACAGAAATAGCTTTAAAACTTTAAAAATTAGTGTTCAAGTCCTAAACGAACTCGAATTATCGTTCTCATTTCAAAATAACATTATGGGCCCAAACAGAAATTTGGATGTTCTTTCTACACTTTTATCTTTTCTCAATTTTGATCCAATTCGTTTTCCATCCATTCAATAATATGTTCTACATCAGACACATTGTCATGTTACATGTATAACAACATAATTCTAAAAGTTTCATAATTTATAAGGATATAAATTTATTTTTATTATTATTATTATTATTATTATTATTATTATTATTATTATTATTATTATTTGCTATACCCAAACATTATCGAGAATATGTATTTGAGGTTCATTTCTTGAGCAAAAAAATTGAAGATAGCCATACGGTGAAATTGTTAACATGCTTGCTTTGACTTGAGAAACGACAAAAAGTATTATTCAAAAAGTAAGAGAGAACTCGATTTTGAGTAGTAAATAATCGATAATTGACATAATAACTTCAACTTCATTTGAAAGGTGCTTCTAATGTACTATGCAATATAAAAAAGTATCGATCACTATGGCATGTAAGATCTCCAATTGAGCCGAGAACCAGGTTTAATGCATATCATGGTACGTTTGAAGCCAGAAGCTTGCAACCAGGTTTTACTGTCTTGTGAAATTCACTATAATCACTCATTGCAACCATGATTTTTAGCAGAAGTGAGGCTCTTTAATGCGTTCGATAGCTTTCATGTTGAGATGGATGAGAATCTTCTCACCATAGCCTAAAACAAACCAAAGGAGTTTAACTCAGCAAGCATAACTTGACAGAAAGAGAGGGGCAATTTTTATTTTTTTAAATCATTCCGGCTGATAGGATAGAAGTTAATAGTATTCAAAAGAAAGAAAACAATCCTTCAATTACAAGGGTTCCTGTTATATGATTGTTCAAAGTCAATAAAGACATGTCTGGAGTGAAAGTGGAAACAAACGGCCACAAACCGGCCAAACTCGTGATCTATGCTACCGCATATACCCTATAAGGGCGTGTCCCATTGAGGCTTGCAGGGCCTCCAGGCCTTGTTTTCAAACAACCTATGCGGTCGTATCGGTTAATACTATGCGACCGCATAGGGTAATCATATAGTCGTTAGGAGCCGTTTTTGTTCAAAATTCTGATGGCTTGTGAGCATTTTTTGGCACCACTTCATATGACATATTTGAAGGCTATAAATATGTTGTTGATAACCAAGAAAATACATTGAAAAATCTATAGCCACAATTGAGATCAAATTATTTATTTCAATTGTATTGAGATTCATTTCTTTCTTCATATTCAAACCTTTCATTTTATGTTATTGTGTTTTGGAGGATTTCACTTAGAACCTGTCTGGGATGGATTTTTAGAGCTCAAAAATTGATTTTTTGCCCGTTGGAAATCAAAAGCAGCCATCCTTTTTTATTGGCCCTCTCACAGGTGGGACACAGCTCAACTTCAACGGCTCTTTTTTTTTGCTTAAAATCCATTGAACAAGTAGAAACAGACAGGCGCTTAATGCTTGAGTGGTCAATCATTTTCAAAGCTTGATAATTCCTGCAAACCATTTTGCCAAATACTCTTCAAGCATCTAATTTCAATTCGAGAGAGCGCAAATATTGTTTGAGAACAAAGATGCTGTGTTTGAGCCTCCTTCATCTTTTCGTTATTTTCTTGATTTCTTGGTTTTATAATTCGTTTGTTCTCTATTCTCTTTTTTCGTTGCGAAATATTTCC